AGTAAAAAGTTTTATTAGTAGCAAAGCTTTATTTTTTATAAAAATTATATTGTACCACAAAGATCATATAAAAAATGGTCTACGTATACTCTACCCTTAAGTTTTGATTTGGTATTTTTATAAATTCCAGAAGTGATATTTTATTATCTATACAATTTGTGCCATTTCTGATCTACAAAATCATGAAGGAATTAATATTTAAAGTATAGGTAATTATAAATTAGGGAGTTATATTTACTTCTAAGAGCCATTATACGAATTGATGGTTTTCTTCTGACTCTGTACTAAAACGCATATTCTTTTTTAGTGAGAGTACTTTAATATGTTTTCATAAATACGATCTCGTGAATGATGCAGCTACAATTTCTTCTCTAGATCCTTTTATGATTACTGGAAGTATTTGGCGAAAATCTCCTTCAAAAACTACAGTAATTCTGCCAAACGGTCGATTATCATTGCAAATGTCTCGTAAAGTACGATCTATAGCTTCAGGACAGTGATGATGTTGCATCGGTGACTCATCCCAAAAAATAAGTGAAGCTTGACGCATTAGTTCAGCTTCTACCAAATTTTTGTTAATTTCACAAATTGAATCTTCATTTATATTTATTGGAATCTTGAATCTCGAGTGAGCAGTACGACCAAGATCAAGTAGAAGAGCTGCGATACCCGAGAATGCTACGCAGAGGATGTTTTTTCTTAGGCTTCTAATTTTCATTGCAATAGTGTTGTAAACGAAAGTTTTGCCAGTTCCAGCATGACCATTGAGGAAGAATAATTGGCCATCTTGTTTAATTACTGAGTCAACTATGATGTGGTAAGCAGCTGCTTGTTCAGGATTTAATAGCGGAACACATTCATTAATGATATCTTGAAGTTTTTGATAATCCCATGCTAATTGTTCTGCGATAATATGGGATCTATTGTGGTGCCCCCAGTTCTGTCTCCAGAGAGGCATTGGTGGAAACATATCAAGTGATTGATTAGATTGGCGAAGGATTTTATCCAGGAGAAAGAGTCCAAAGTCAAAAACTTGGTCATCAGTAGGTTGGTGGATATTATAGTTTTTATGTAAACGATATCGGAGATCATCACGGAGATTAATATGGAAGTGCAATCATAACTTATCTGGATGAGTAGGGGTACATTGAATAAGTATGATGGCGAAAAGAACTCTTAATTGGGATCTAGTATGCAGGATAGCGGCTTCTTCGAGACATTGAAACCACTCTTGATCATTTTCTAGTAGCCCTAAAGCTATACACGCACTTTTGAAGGTTGGATGAACGATATTATTAATGGTTCTCAAATGTTTAAAAGAAGTTGGACCACGAATAGATGTAAGAAGTAGCTGAAGATAAAATCGTTCTCCTGCAGAAGGACTGGTGAAGTACAAACGACCAATCACAAATCCTTGTTTTCGCGATGTCCATTGTTTAATTTTTTTATTCCAGACAAAGTGTTGCAAAAATTCTTGGTAAGTGTATAGTCAGGCGGATTCAAGATTTGCACATGCTTCAAAAAAAGCAGTGAGTGTTGTTTTTTGACGTTCGGCACGGGAAAGGATGGTAGATACATCATCAGTAGGATCAAATACAATTGTATGCATTCCAGGGAGGTGTAACGCTAGTCTTACAACATTTGGTACTTCTTCATGTAAAGACATACCAAAATGACGCCACGCTGCTTCGGCAGTGCCAATATATCTTGCATCAATATATTGTTTGATTTCGTCTGGTTCATGACCAAATTGCATTGTTGTTCTGTCATGACCTTTATAAATATACTTATGAATATATTTAACTGCACGTACAGAAGCACAAATTTCGATATTAATGTGACAGTTGTATTTTCTACTAAGGTAAGGATTGTATGGCACAACGTCTCGATTGTCAACAAATTTTCCTCTGATTTCAAATGTTCTACCATTGTTTTTTCTAGTATAAAGGGGGTATCCGTTTTCATTCATCAAAGTTGAATCACGAAAAACTTTTGGATAATTTTTGTTACATTTGCCATCAATCATACACGGTGCTTGTGGGTTGCGAAAACTACAAGGACCATGGATTATACATCTAAGTATGGTATCAAAGAGGATTGGATCTTTTTGTTAATCAGGAAATTCAGCGCATACTATTTGATCGACATCTGAAGGTTCTTTCACTCTGTCATTATTGTGAAGGAAAATCAAAAAATGCATATGCGAGAGATCCCGTTTTTGAAATTCAATTGTATATACATGTGCGACAACTCTTCCAAAAAGAGTATTCTTTTTGATATCATAAAGAAGTGCCCAACGTTTTAGTTCAAATACACGTGCAACTAAGTCTGGTCTATCAGCAGTAGTTTGGCCTAGAAATAATTCGTTAATTATTTCAGGCCAGTTCGGATTTGCAGTCATTGTTCCAAAAATATCAGGATGGCCATAGAATCGGGTAATCGCCATTGAAGCTTGGAATATTTCAAACATGTGACGGGCACTTCCAGTATGAGTCGAAGGAAAAATTATTCTATGGCCAAGATTATTTAAAAATAATTCTTCATTTGAATTATTCCCAACTATATCTGTAAGACCTTGATATAGGTCTGCGCGTAGAGTATTTTGATTCATACACAAGAATCTTAATCTATTTTGTTCTGTTACAGCCCATGTGTTAACAATGAACTCTTGAAATAGTTTTCCACCATGAAGAATTGTAGAGAATTCATTATGTCGTGGAAAAAGTCGAAAAGTATAAAATTCTAATTGAGTTAAACGTAGTATATTACTTTGATTTTTAGGAGATTGTCCTTGCATATTGATCGGAGTATGATGCAAATCTGGATGCCATCCAAGTTCTCCATAAGGAAAGAACAAAACATAATGGAGGGTAAATAAGCCGGATGTCCTTCATGAATTCGTTGTAGTGGTCCTCTGTGAAGTCAAAGAATAATATCACGCATTGTTTCAGGTATTGAAGGATTACCTAGTAGAATAATAGCTATCTCATTTGCGGTTGAAAGATTATAACGGCGTTGATCAGTTTGTTTATTAAAATGAAGGTAAACTTTTAGATCTATTCTTTGTTGGTTTCTTTGATTTTGTAAAAGTATTTCATGTGCCTGTTTGTATATAGAGTAAAACATATGATATTCACGCAAGAGCTCTTGTACTTTCCACATTATATTCGGGGATAAAGATTCATTCCGTTCCATCCTTAATTAATGTGCTATCTCTGGATCATAAATGTAGAGTTGAGCATAAGTTGCTTCAGCATCTGAATCAGGGAGCAAAGAACCTACGCGATGATATAATTCTCCACTTATACGGAAGCTATATGGTCCATGACCATTAAAAACAGATTGGTTAATTTTTGCACCAAGAGAAGTGAATGCATGTGCTGCATTATACCGTCGAATATTACAATGAAATTCTTTAGAAAGATCATCTTGACATTCGAAAAGTTGACGTAGTAGGAGTGGTGGATCTTGTAGAAATGGTAAAATAACTTGACCGTGTGAACAACATGTACTAAATTTTGGACTGTTGCGAGAAGATGAAGTAAGACGCTTATCAAGCCAGTGTAGGGCATTACAATGAACGCATTCTATATTCATTTGACCAAGATTATGTTGCTTATACTAAGCATAGATTGTGTTATCTAATTTTGTATGTTTTCTGGTATTGTTATCGCATTCTGATGTTGTTGCGAAATTTTCTTTAGCTCTTCTTCGCTGTTGAGCAATTGACCTACAATTTGGGATTTGATTCATGTGTGATTAATTTTACTTGAATTACAGAGATTTTTTTTATTTTAAGTGGTGCAGGCGGTTTTATTAAATATATAAGTTAATGGGGTTTGTTTTTTTTTTACAGAGGCAGGATTCTAGCTCTTTTATAAATTTTTTATAATTATGAAGGCTTTTTTGATTTTTATTTTAACTTCTGTTTAGAATTCTTTTAGTTCGATTCTTACACGCCACTATGCAATTTTTTCTTGTAAATTTTCTTTGATTCGCGTTTGTTTACATTCATCGATTATTCTATCGTCGATCTACTAAGCCTTTACTGATCATATAGAACATGATAATTGTTACCAAATTTCATAGGTGTCTTGTTATTATACACTAAATAAGTCAATAATTACTTAAATTTTATATTATAATTATAATATAATACCAAATAATTAATAACATCAGTTGTGATTGATACTGCAGTTATTGCTAATCATCATTTTTAATAAATTATATAGGGGTGTTTTATTAAATTTTTTTTTGATCTTATAATAGATAATAAATAATGTTGAGAAAGTTTAACAATGAGATTTTTTAATTTATTAGGATGGCAGATTAAGCTTCGTACTATTTATTTTAGATACAAAATTGATTTTTTGCTTTGTTTAGATTAGCGACGTAAACTAAACCCAACAGTTTGGGATTCGGTAGATTATCAAATGTTTTTACTATATTCGACAATTGCATTGTAACTCAAATTTATATATCACTGGTTAGAGTGTAAATCATAAGACAAATAAAAATTTATTGTCTTCTACAATTGTGAAAGTAAGGTAAGTATATATTTGTTAGAGAATGTAGCTTGGTATTATTATTTTTTCATTTCTTTTATTTTAAGCAAAAAAAACTTTTTTAATAATAAGGTTATCTGAAGTAAGATTTCTACTGTGGTAAATGTAAATTCTTATATTTATTGAAAATAAAAGTGAAATAGATCACGTGATACAGGTAAAATGTATTTATTTACGATCTTAAAAAAAAGACCACGTTTTAACTAATTATGCTCATAATATTTGATTAGTGTTCTTTGAAAATGTTAAGAACATCGAAGTTTGCACATCGGGCATATTTATTTTTCATCAGAATCAATGATTTCTTGGTCCAAACTTTGAGGAGTTTCAACATTTTGTATCGTCTGTCCTTTACCCTTTCTTTGACTGTGAACAGGAGTTTTTTGATTTTTTCGTGGTTTGGTGTTTTTGGTTGAACTATTGCTCGCTTCAGGTTCACAATCAACGGTAGAGTTGACATTTTCCAGTTCTGGTGAATCTTCAGTTCTTTTGCATTTTGCGAAGGGTCCACTTTCAGTATTGCTTGTGTTTGGTAATTGTTCATCTTTCAAATTTTTAGTCATATTTTGGTGGATATTAAAGAGTTTCGATCTCATAGAATTAGTTGAAGCTGATGGAGTCTGAGAAGAATCTGCGTCAGAACTTCTTTTTTTGACATTAACATAATTAATATCTTTCGCATTAACGTAGAACATTCCATCTATAACTTCCATTTGTCCAACTACAAATATAACAGATTCCTGTAAGTTGGTGGCCGATTTAAGATGTTCAAATCGTGGATTAGTATGTGAGAAAGCTGTATTAATTATGTAATTGTGATCTAGACCGAAGACATAATCGGTCATAGTTATTTCCATTACTGAATCTTCAGTATTCTCAATAGCAGATATTTTTCCCTGTGGAGATCCTACGAAAGATACTTTTAAGGGGCATTTATTTGAATCTGAATCTTTAATGATCAAATGAGTTGAGGTCGCGACTAACATCTAAATAGTAATTATTGTTAAATTATTTCTAATTATTATTGAAATTTTTTAAATTATACAAAAAAATCAAAAATTTTTAATACTTTTGGTCTTATAACACTGGCATAGCAATTAGGTACAATTTTTCCTCCAACGGAGTAGTATTCAACTCTTTTAAAGACAGCTTGTGATTCAGGATCTCGTTCACCAGAATCGCATGGTACAAATAAGACCATCTCCATTTCACACTCTTCATATCCGACAGAATATACACCAATAGCCTATACTAAAATCGATTTCGCATCTTTAGTTTCATTTTGCTTAACATGTATGATTTTTACGATAGTGTCTAAATAACAGGGCATTGTTTTTTTTTTACAAAAATTTATTTCACGATAGTAAGTTCAATATGTTCAATATTCAAATATATCAAAATCCAGTACTTAATAATTTATTAACTAAAAAGAAATTAGAGTGCTTTTATACTTTACAAATACGCAAGAATATATAGTACTACAGAAGTGACTTTTTTAAGTTCAGTCGGTACTTTTTCTCACAGAATTCTAAATCGCTAATCAAGACAATTTTTTCTATTTTCACCTGTTGAAGCCCAAAGCTACTAATTATTTTCATGCACTTTCTTCGAAATTTCTTAGATCTACATTATTTACGTTAATCAACGATGATTATAATGATCGAGATTATCTAGAATTAGCACTGCACAAAAAAAAAAAAAAAGAAAGAAAAATCAAATAGGCATATATAAATATATATATATAAAGCTAAATCTACTAATAAATACTTTTTAAATTAAAAAAAAAGCATCTGGGCCAATTATACTAAAGTCAAAAGCACTTTTTTTGGTAAATTAATTCTCAGCATGTGATCTATCGGTTAATTTAATTGCAAATATTCGATACGTATGTAAGTATCGGTACGGATCAAACAAATAGGGTAAAATCCACCACCCAGACCATGCGATACTGTTTTAATGAATATCATTCAAGATATTTCTTGAATTTTCGGTATTACAGTATTATTAAATTATTTAAGATCAACTGCGTGAAAATCAAACCTGATTTATTAAGTTAACAAATGGTATCAGCATGTAATAAGGCTTTAAGCAACAATTGGTTTTCGAAAATTATATTATTAATTATAGTCATCAGCTTATTTGACATAATGACTTATCTTAAAATCTTTACCACTCGTTTTCCATTTAAAACAGTATTTAAGAAAACTGGACAAAAATCAAGCCGAAATGGTAATATAAATCTGCTAACAGAATAACACAGTTGCTATCAACCGGTCAAAAGACTTATTTATCACCACGCCTTATCTCAAGATCTTTATCCCCCCTCTTCAGAGCCAATCAGAGCGTCTGCTGAAAACTGTCTCTTTTATATAGATTTGTTATATCCTTTTACTTATCACATTTTTATTTGTCATACTTTTTATTTGTAATACTATTTTATTTCTATACTCTATATTTTTCAAATCCTTTTACATCCAAGATCTCTATTATCTACTCTGTTTTTAATTTCAAACTTTAAACTATGTCTACTTTAGTTACTGAAGATTCTAACTCTTATAACATTAACTACTATTATGATAAATATAAAGATCACTATGATATAGAAATAGTCAAAGAAAAACCTCAATCTCTATATGTACTTTTGACAAATATTAATCTAATAATTGTGATATTGCCAAAAAACATCATTATTTCAAAGTCTCTTAACAACTTATTATTGTCACATGTCTTTGTGAAATATACTATACTAGTTTCACTTCTCAGTTCTACAAAATCCCTCATGCTACTTCTCTTAGACAACCTATAACTCAATCTACTTCTACTATTTCTGTTAGTTGTTTTAGAAAAATTTCTAATAAACTATCTTAATCACTTACTCTGAAACAACAATAATCTGATCTATCTTTTTCCAAACCTTATATACTATTTCTTAGTTTTCAAATAGATTCTACATCTTCTGCAATTGTTGCATACTCTCAACACTATCATATATATCTTATATATAAAGCTAAAAATATTCTTTATGTAGCTACAAAACATAATGTAATTATGCTCCTAATTATGTAATTTGCACAATTTTTAAACAAAACTTAATTCATAAATTTTGTGTTCTTGGTTTATTAGATATTAAACTTAAATTATTGGCACAAATCTTTCTTCTTATATTTCAACAACAAATAGTTATAGTTTCAATCAAATCCAAACTAATTAGTTTAAACAGTTTTCTGTCAATTAGTTGGATTTAGGTATCTGTAATCTTGGATACAACCAATTAGGTTCTACTTATTATTAAGAGCTTAGAGCATTTATACAAAGTGTAATATTATATATACATAAAGAAATATTAATAACCAATATTGAATAAGACTTTAGTGCAAACTTATGATAAAACTACCAAATGCAAAAGACCAAAAAACCAAGAAGACAGAATCTTACTTGAAAATTTTCAAATTAAAAAATAATACAAACCTTTGATAATGCTATCAAACTAATAGAAGCTTAGAAAACTTAATAAAGAATAAGCTAACATACAACTGGATAACAAGATTTATAGAAGAGCATATAACCAACTAGGCCACCAGAATTGTTAAAGGAAAAGGATATCAAAAGGTATATCATATCAGGCCATCTGAATTAGAAATCTGAAGAGTTAGCTGAACTTTGAGTTGGATAGTAAAGAGATGAAAAGAAAAAGTCAAAAAGATAGATACTAGGGTTTGAATAAACTTTACAAGAGTAAAAATAATATAACATAGCAGTTTAACAGATAATTTCTGTAACTGCAAGTATTGAATAACTATAATATATTATATAAAACTAGATTAATATGTATAGAATGTAAAGACTCTAGTAAGTCTCCTGTCAAGAATAAAGTAGTTCTAAAATACCAATAAGCATTAGGAACTTAAATAAGTGTAATATATCTTCTTTTTATTTTTTTTTTGTTTTTTTTTTAAAAAAAGTAGAGATTTGGCTTACTCTTATCAAAAGATCAACATTATATATTACTTTCTTTTGTGGCAGCCTTGAGATGTTTTCATAATATAAGATAGATTGCATATGCAGAAGGTTTAAATAGGCAAGACTTTTAGTTAGCTTGCAGGTATGACATCTAGTATAGAACTTATATAGAATAAGTAAACTACTTAAATTAGATACCAAAAGTCATGTATAGCTAGTTGTAACCTTCTATATAAGAAAGCCTCTAGTGACACTTGTGTCCTATAACTTGAATAAAACAGTCACAACTTTAAGATAAAGAACTTTAAAAAAAAAAAAACAAACAAATATAATGTAATAATTTCAAATTGTAATTAAATTAAATATATTTTATTAAATAAAACAAAAATTAAAATTACAATAAATTAAAAATTATAAAACTAGAAAAAAAAAAAACTCTTTTCTGTTCACACCAGATCAGGAAAGGCGAATAAAAAACAACAATCATAATCTTGACAGAAAGAAACCAAAACTTATCAAATAAGATACTAACAAGGGCCAGAGCCCTTGTCCCAAGAAAAAGAAAGCTTTCTCGAAGAGTAGAGCCACTGCCAACAGAAAAAATCTTCAAAATACAAAAACTTGACCTTGAAAGAGAAGAAAATACAAATGACTCTTTTATCGAAAAAATGAATAATACAGATACTAATCACATTTTAACAGCTCAAGAAATGATGAAACCAGCAAGAAACGAAGAGCTAGTACCAGTTGTAGTAGTTCAAAATGAGGAAGACTAGTTAGAAAACATAATACAAAATGAAAAAAGTGCTTGGGCTTTAAAAAACACGTCTAGACCAGGGACTTGCAATAATTTGGATATCAAATTGTAAAAATTTATTTGGGTATCGACCGAAATTTGGATAAATTTGAGATAAAAAATTTAAATAGTATCCAATATTTGGATAAAATTTGGATAAAAATTTAAATATTTGGAATTATTTAAACATCGATTATTTAAAAAAAATCATTATTAACCAATCAAAAATAAGATTATTATATAACTCAAGACCCTGCTTTAAAATTTATTATTTAAGTTAATTAAAATAAAGCATATTCAACATTTTTAAAGAATCTTCGCTTAAATTTTGCCTGTCATCTTCTAAAACATTATTATAAACAGAGAAACTTCTCTCTACAGCGCAAGAAGAAATGGGCAACCAAATATAAATCAAAGCTATCTTACTTAAAAGTGGTAGTGAAGAAGATATTTTGTTCCAAAATTCACCTAAATTATTAAACTCAACTAAGTTAAATCTAAATTACAGTAAAATGACCATTCTCTTAACAAAGCATCTGAAGGATCTTTTAACTCAAAAATCTGGGTTGAATAATTTTGAATATTGTAGTTAGCAATAATTAATTTTACAAATTGTGGATCAAAAATTTGCATAGCAATAAAAAGAGAACGGGAAGGATGGTATAAAAAGTGATTATTGGATTTTATATAAGCAGAAGTAAAAGCCATTTGAAATACACTATTAAAAAGACTTGGATCTGACCCAAGATTTGTAATACAGGAATTTACTTCACCTCCAAAATCAGTATTTAATTCGCCACTTTTCAAAAAACTTTCAAGTTGCTGAATCCTACTTTCAACGTATGAGATCATAGGTTCATTTTTTTTTGAAAAAACTTAAGATCAGAAATAAATTTTTCAGCATAATGCTGAATAAAGGTCAAATAAATTCTCACTTGTCCACTTTCATCAGGATTATTAAAAACATCGACAATTTTTTTGATTGTTTCAGATAGTTCAATTTGCAATTTATCGTTATAAAATTCTTTCATATAGTCCAAATAATTGTGAACATAAAATGTCATTCTAAACCAAGTACCCCAATAAGTTGCAGCTAGTAATGGTATAAATTTAAGCAAAGGACTTGATTGTTGATCCAATCCATGCTGCATTAAGCAATTCATATAGCGAGATCTATGAACTTTAGAATGTACAAACATTTTTTTGATATTTGAAATGAATGTTTTAACAAGATCAAAATGAAAAATTAACAGCCACGATTCTCTAAAATAATAAAATTAAATTTTATTAATATATATTAATAAATAATAATACCATTGTTATAATGATAATTATTATTTACCCAATTAAATTTACAATATGAGCTGGGCAAATATTATGCTTTAATTGTTGCATTACAGGACTTATAGCTTTGTGAAAACATTTCTTCATATACGAAGCAGAATCAGTAA